TCGATAACTCATCCCGATCTTTTTTTATCGATAAAAAACCTTATCGAAAACCAGTTATAAAATTATATCTTCTACACCTTTATTGCTAGAGTCTCCAAATTTTTAATGCATGCTTATATGCAATTTATACAATTTCGGTTTTTGGTAAAACTTACCCCCCACCTCTAAATTTACCCTCTCACCCTCACTTTTGTAAAAAACGTATTTCAAATACTAGAGACTTGTGCTTTGGAAATTACATGCATATTCATGTTATAATCATAATCTGAAAGCTTCATGAAGATCGTATGTCCACAAAAAAAGTTATTAAGCAATTAAGTTCTCATAGTATGTGTGTGTGTGTGTGTGTATGTATGTATGCTTGTGTGTGCGTGCGTGCGTGTGTGTGTGTGTGCGTGTTTCTTGTGTAAGCTGAAAGACACGAAAAATTATTGAAGTAGCTATTACTCCAAGGGTTTAGGGGATCTCGTAGTCGAGCAGTCTCGACTAGAGCTTTCTTACTTTTTTTTTTTTTTTACATTCTTCAGTATATTTTATTTTTATATTAAAAAGCCTTTTTATCTATTGTCTTAGCAGTTTACCTTTGAGTAAAATAATAATGGCTTCTATAAAATTCAAGTAAATATTTTAATATGTCCATGGCAACAAAAAGCTCCCATATCATAGACTTCCCACAGACTTCTTTAAATTTAAAAAAAAAAAAAAAAAAAAAAATATTTACAATTGGATATCAGAGCCGTTTCTGCTTGGGCAAACTTTTACGAGCCAATCGAATTTGTAAGCTCCTATTAATTGTATATCGGCTTTTCAGGCTAACGGCATTCAATTGCAATAAAATACTAATAAGTAAATAAAATTAATTAGTTGCTTTCATTTGTGTAATGAAAATTTAAAATTAAATTTACTGATATCACACATTCAGTACAGTCCCAAAAGGGACTTTATGTATGTGTATGTGTGTGTGTATGTGACAGTAAAAGTCCATTTGATTAATAGGCAAGCGAAGGTTTGTTTGTTTGTTTGATTCTCTCCATGAGCTGTGTGAAAAATAATATACGTAATCATTGCCCCATTTGTTTTTATTGAAACAACGCACCATGACAATTAAAATGCAGCCAGATATACAGATTGTAATTGATTTTTCGTATCTTCGTATTTTAATTTGTTTTTGTTTTCCTTTGAACAAAATGTAAACAACAATAATTCTATGTACTACAGAGCTGGGGGCGATTTCTCTTTTTAAGGCTCAATTGTCTTTTAATTAATGCAAATCCTGATTTCATTTCAGCTGTTGTAAATGACACAACAGTTATGCCCGCTGAATCGCGCAAAACTGTTTCACAATAATAAAATATGTAGTAAAAATTGCAACAAAATCAGAATGAATATTAATTAATTGAGGACGGTCGACTTAAGTTAAACACACACACAGGCTTATGTAGACATTCAATAAATACATAAATAAATATAAATAT